ACATTTGGGATTCAGACATTTCGACGAGGGACTATTTGGGCTTGTGCCGAAGACTTGGTGTTGACGACATTCCCATCTTCCCCCTCCTCTTCGTCTATCCCCTTCCTCTTCGTCTGTGTATGGTATGGGCTGGCGCAGTCTTCCTGTGTGAAGCGCCAGGCCCCATTCACACCATGTAACGATGATGATGATGTATGTTCAGGGCTGCATTGCAACATTGATTGTTCGGATCACTGGTACCTAAGTCTTCCATTGTGCTATCTTATACTTTGTATTGAAAGGTCGGTTCTTGTTCTGGTCTGCACATTACAGTATGCAACACAAGCTAGGAGAACTGTCTAGAGAAGTATGAACAAAAAAGGCAGAACACCGAAGGAAAGGGTCGGGCAAGGAGGCTGATGGAATACAAGGAGCAGCAAGTAAAGAGGGGCTAGGAAGGTATCCCGGATTTCCATCTGCTGACCTGTGGGAGTATTGAGCTGTGGGACATGGAGAGCTTGCGCTTGTTCTCCATGATGAATACACGAAGGGCATCTGCCACTGCAGGATCTGCATATTGCCTGCAAAGTTGCAAACATTCGCTTAGATAACGTAGCACCATGTAAAGCCACATCCAGGACCATCATTCCCTTTCCCTTAGGAGTCAAGACACCCACACTCTCAGGGCTACATCACCCTCGATGGTTGCCATCAGGTGCAAACAACAGATTGCAGGACTTTCAGAACCCTGGTCTGTACAATTACAAAGAGTTGTGCTGGGGAAACCCCTGCGTCAATCTTCCATTAAGAGCAGGAAAAGGAGGAAGAAGAGGAAGAAGAGTTGTGCTGCGGGTCATCCCTTATGCCGCACTTCCATACAAACAACTTTTTTTCGGCTGCGGGTCATTCCGAAACTAGACGACAAATCCGAGGATAAACAGAAAACTTGAGAAAAGCAATTTCATTTTCCTTTTCCTTTGGGTGGGGGGGCGGGGGGGGGCATCCTTTTCTCCAAATCAATCCGGACATCTGAACGGCATCCAGACTGTCTAGATGCGGCCGATGTTGAGTATCCGGGGTCCAGGTCCAGGGTAGAGCGTGATCATTGATCAATTGATATATAGACGAAACAAGAAAACAGGAAATGGAGAGGAGACTGACACAAGCAAGAAACACTACGTCAGCATTAGATCCTCAGACGATTTGTGACCTCACCTGCTGAGGCAGGACCGAAAGAACAGATGCATTGCAGGCTCGGCATCAAACAAGACGACATCACCGAAATCCAAAAAGAACTTGAGGATTGCCTGCTCCAGAAGCCAGCCAACGAATCAGGATGGTGCAATCAGATACAATCATTGTCGTTCTTTTTTTAATCACTCAGCAAAACAAATTCTGAGGCTCAGAAGAAAACAAGTCCATATGCAGCAACTAACTAATGTCACTATACTATAGTTTATCTTTTTCTGCCGGTTTAACCCATCTATATTATTTTTGTAATTTACTAATTTTTGTTTTCATTTTTAAATTTTTTTACTTTTTGGTGTGCCACACTGATATGTAAGGCACCACACACCGCACATTGAAGGGACAATACAGAACGGACCCATTTTGAAAAATGTTTTTGTAAAGACGATAAAGAACATTCGTAATGAGGAATAAAACCGCTCGGACTCCGAAACTGCTTGCTGGAGGCAACACCCCGACTTCATTACAACTATTTTTAACTCGCGTGACAGACTACACTTAGGATGTGATGGTGCTTTGCGCCTTACGGGTTCCAGTCCCACTAGTCGAGGCGCCTTGTAAGAGTTCGCGGTCATACTCGCGCGAGCGCGCGCGCGCGCGCGCGCGAGAGAGAGAGAGAGAGAGAGAGAGAGAGAGAGAGAGAGAGAGAGAGAGAGAGAGAGAGAGAGAGAGAGAG